TACTAGACCACCAGATTACTCCGCTGCCATTATCACCTAATTAAAGTTTTAATTCACGCAGTCCGATTCGATTTCTTTGTCGATTCTGATTCCTAATTAACATTATCTTAAGCAAATCTCAACGGTTCTTCGAATATTTACATAAATGTTTTTAATCATGGTTGCACTCACACAAAGGTTTTCAATCATGGTTTCGATTAACGAACCTCAAGCTCCGATCTAGCTATAAAAAGTAGTGTTTCGTGAGATTTTTGGTCGATTTCCACCTAAATCTCTTTCCTGATCTGTATAACAGACTCGTATGTAAAGCTATGGATTGCACTTGAGGACTAAACACAGCGCAAAAGCGGGTCATTACGAGTTTAACCACTCAGGCCGCAGTGCACGACGGTTTGTCCTGGTTTGGCAACCATTTGATTGCGATTTTCACCATTAACCCAACCAGTAACGACTAATGGATTGATAAGAATGCAGACGTACCTCGATTGGACGATTGGAGATCCAAAAGTATTGATTTCTTGGCTCCGTTTCTTCTGTTATCGATTCGGCTCTCTTTCTCTTGAATTTCTCTTTGGTTCCTTCCGTTATCAATTGCTTATCGTAGAAGATATATGTATACGTTTTTCATTAATTTGGGTTAGTTTGGTCATGGTCCGTGATTTTAGGAAGTCGAATCAAGGTGATTGGGGGTTTCCATAACTCACGAAGTTGTTGTTCTTAAAATGTACAAGAAAAACAACAAACCCCTCCAACTTTCTATATTTTTAAATTTCACCCCCTTACACTTTAAAAACAAATTTATATGTGTAAAATTCCCTCCAACTTTCTATATTTTATATTTCACCGCTTACACTTCAAAACAAATTTATATATGTAAAATCCATTAATTTAATGAAAAATCTTGGTTATTATTCCCTCTTAAGGAAAACTCGTGTAACGATGTGTGTAAAAAGTCAACTGATCCAACTGGAACCGACCAATCTAATTAGAACTTATCAATTGTAATTGGATATCTAATTGTAATTTGATCCATAACCGACCTAACTGAATCGATCAATATCCAATTAACCATCCGATTACTATCAAGTTATTCTTTCACCTATCATCCAACTAATTTGTTTTCAATTTGCTTAAATATTAATTTATTTTGTTTTGGTTTTTGAATTTTTAGTCTCACTTGTATTGCCTGTTGGTTTAATACATATTAAAGGTGATTAATCAATTTATTTCATTGTCAAAAATTTAGATTAAATTAACATACTGAATGGATTTGATCATCCATTGAATGTCAGATGGATCGAATCCGATCCAATTGATATCCAATGAATGGAATTGATTATGTGCTATTTTTAGTATGATGGTGAGTTTTTGTTAAAAGCTTTTCTTATTTGGAAACTGCGTATAAGAACTGCATGGTTATTTATCATGAGATTTTGAGATAAAACAGTTTGATGTCATTATTGGCAATAAGGTGGATTTTTATCACGATTATATCATGTGTGAAAATAAGGGTGACGTATCAAGGAGCTGAGTATATTGGATAAGGGTGACGTAATCAATTTGAAAATGTTGATCTTTTGATCATGGGTACTGTTATCGCATAAGTGAGATGCGATAACTTGGGGTTGTCGCATCTGTGTGATGCGATAACTTTGAGTTGTCACATCCTATTAATACGATGAAGTGAACACTTGATCGTAAGGACCAAAGGGGTTCTGAGAGGGTCTTGCTTCTGGGTGGCCTTCTACTAGGATGGCCTTGCGATTGAGATGACAGTGAATACTGTTTGTAGGTATCATAATGTGTATCTTGTGTTCACATACGGTTCATTGGAATAAGGTTCGCCGCATAGAGGAAAGAGGAGAGATGAGGGAGGATATTATAAAATTTCTAAAATGCCTTTAATTAATATTTTGAAGTTAAAATTACCAAAAATATTAATTTCTTAATTTAACCTTTGATTTATGGTTGATATTTGATCTCACGGTCATCACAAACAAAACAGTTCTCATTTGATTAGGCGCGCGCACACACACACACACATATATATATATATATATATAAGGGCTCATTCAAGAAAGATCTGATTAGTTTGTGGTAACTGTGAGATTCAATCTCAACCACAAATCAACGAATAAATTAAGAAATTAATAATTATGGTAGTTTGAGTTAAAATTATAATTAGAGGACATTTTAGGTATTTTTAAAAAACTTCTCTCTCCTCTCTCATCTCTCCGAACTCCAATCTCTGGCCTCCGGTGAACAAAAATCCGGCAGGTACCAAGTAATCACAAAGATACACCATGTGATACCCATTGTGATATAATGTAATACCCATTGTGATATACTGCGGTACCATTGGGGTACCACTGTGTACCACAGAAAAGGAGTGGCACATCTTCGGAGTTACATCTCCGACGAGATCTGGTTTACATCACCGGCGACACCTGTGCTAATCTACCATCATCATCATGGCGACTGATGATCGGAGATCCCCTATGGATTTGCCGGCGTTCGAAAAAGATGCGAAGGCGCTTGAGTTCATCGAGAAGATGACGAGCAGCGCTGACACCGTTCAGGCGAATGTTTTGGCGGTGATACCCAGCCGGAACGCTAAAATTGAGTATCTCATGCTTTACAATCTCGACGGAGCCACCGATCGAGAAACTTTCAAGTCGAAGATTCCAATGGTCACTTACAAGGATCTTCAACCTCTTATTCAATGCATCGTCAATGATGATCGTTCTCCCATTTATATAAAAACTCTGGTACATGGTTTGATTGATTTTCCATGTGATGATGAATGATGGTGTGGTGGTTGTTGTGCATGAGAAGGGGGAAAAGAAAGCAAGAGAAGCATGCCTATGCTGGAGGACGGTTGTTTCATAATGAAGGAGAAAAGTAGCGTTTTAAAATTATAAACATTACCAATTTACCTTTTATGTTATTTTAAGATATAACATTAATTATTTAAATGGTTGGCTCACATTGGACCTTACAGTTACCACAAACTAATCAATTCTAATTTGATTAGGCCCATATATATATATATATATATATATATATATATATAGGGATGGGTTCAAACGAGAACCCCTGTGATTTACGAAAACGCGAGAACAACTCAATAACCACATATTGTGATAAAAAATTAAATTAAAAGATTTTTAAATTTTAAATTTAAAAAGATTCAAAAAATTTTAAAATTAAAAGAGTAATAATGGAAATGATATATTATCTAAAAAACGGTTAGAATCTTTTAAACTTATCATTAAACACAATCAAAATCTTTTAAACTTATCATTAAACACAATCAAAATCTTTTAAACTTATCATTATCATCTACAAAACGGTTACGATTACAAGTCTAACTTCAAATCGCAAGAACTACGGAMGGCGACGGTGTTGATCGACGGTGACCAACCAAGAACACACAACCGTAATCGACCAAGAACCCTAATCGAGAAGTCATTGCATGCAACAAGCAACCCTAATCATGTGATAATCATGTGATATGGGTGTGATAATCATGTGATAGGGGTGTGATAATCA